TGAACATCCGAGCTCGCAAAGCAGTGCAGAGAAGCAATAAAGGAAGTCCTCAAAGAGAGAAGAGCAGCAATGCTGATAGATGTGGCAGAAGCCAGGAAAAGCATTCGGAACGCCTGCCTGACCTTCGCCAAGTACAGGAACAAGATGAGTACCATCTGACTTCCTGATGGACCTATCACATCTTCCAGAAGGGTGATGGAGAAGATTATCCATGACTTCTACTCAAATCTCTTTGATAGCCACATCCACCTGCCCACATACCAAATTCCGCAGGATGGATATGTCATTCCCAACCTTCTCCCTTCCAAAACCTGACACACCATTTTGTCGGTAAAGAAATGAACAGCACTCAACCCAGACAAGGTCAGACCTGAACACTTAAAGAATTTGCCATCAGTACTTATCAATACACTTGTGTGGCTCTTCACACGCTACCAGTCTGAATGCAAGTTTCCATCCCAATGGGAAACCAGCAGGACTGTACTATTGTACAAGAAGGGAGACATCCACGACATTGGCAACTATCGCTCAATCTGCCTATTGTCTGTCATCTACAAGCTGTTCACTTAAGACATCCTGAATAGGATTGGCAGAACACTAGATGAAGGACAACCATGCGAGCAAGTTGATTTCTGAAAAGAATTCAGCACAATCGACTATATCCACACGATAACCAAGCTCATTGAAGTTTCTCAGGAGTTCAAGATGCCACTATGTCTAATGTTCATTGATTTAAAGAAGGCCTTTGATTCTGTTGAGACGGTAATGGTCATCGAAGTCCTAGCCAAACAGGGTGTTCAAACTCAATACATCAGGATCCTCTGTGAACTGTATTGCGGATTCACTACCGGAATCTCACCATTCTACAGGGAAGTGACCATTGATGTCAAGACAGGGGTTCAGCAGCATTATACCATTTCACCACAATTCTTCAGTGCCACCCTCCAAAACACCATGCGACATCTGGAATGGGAAGGAATGGGAGTGAAGATAGACAGTCGGCAACTACACCACCTCCGCTTTGCTGATGACATTGTTCTAATAACACCAAACATCAGCTAAGTGGCACAAATGCTGGCTGACTTCAACCGTGAGTGTGGAAATGTCGACTTATAGCTGAATCTCACGAAGACAATATTTATGAGTAATGGAATATTGTTCCTGATATTCCATTCACTCTCAACGGGATAAACATCTTCAAATGCAACAGTTATGTGTACTTAATTTGAGAAGTCAACATGACGGATGACCTGGCACCTGAGTTGCGCAGGAGGAAGAGAGTGGCTTGGGATGCCTTCAAGAGCGTTGAAGAAATAGCTAAGAGGACAAAGAACCTCCGTCTCTGGGCACATCTGTTGATTCTACTGTTCTTCCTGCATTAACATATGCCTCAGAGATCTGGGCCCTACTAAAACAGGTTGAGAACACTATTGGGTTCTCCCCAAGAGGAATCGAAAGAGCTATGCTGGGAGTATCATGCTTCACTCAAATGAGAGAAAGAATTTGGAGTTCTGACCTCCTTTGAGGGTCAAAAATCGAGGGACGCTGTCTCATTTGCCAAGGCATCGAAAATCAGATGGGCTGGACACTTAATGAGATTTAGAGACAACCGCTGGACTAGACCCATTACTGACTGGATTTCATGGTACGTCAAAAGATTGTGTGGCCGCCCATTTATGAGATGGTCAGACTTCTTCGTCAAGACCCTGAACAATCGGTTTGAGGCTGTACATGTTCCTAGAATGAGCCAATGCCATTGGGCTACACTGGTGCATGGCAGGGATGAATGGAGGCATTACTGGTGCCTGCTCAAGCAAATCGATGAGTAACGGGATGTCAAGTGATCAAGTGATCAAGTGAATATATTTTATTAGCTAATAGTGTTAAATTTTTTCTTTATGTTATTCCATTGTTTTTCTCCTACTAAATGTGGTTGTGGATATATGTGAGAACAGTTTGATCACCTTTCTCTATCGCCCTCTTCCAGAGATTTGATCTTTCCTTTAGATACTGTAATGGCTCATTGTCTTTAATCCAGTGGCTTTCCTGGGCTTTGTCTTGATTACTCTTTTGATTTAGATCACCCTAGGACATACATATTATATACTTCATATACTGAGGTGCGGGCTGGAGTGATAGCAAAGCAGTAGGGCGTTTGCCTTGCACGCAGCCAACATGACCGACCCGAGTTCGATTCCTCCTCCCCTCTCGGAGAGCCTGGCAAGCTGCCGAGAGTATCTCGCCTGCGTGGCACAGCCCAGCAAGCTACCCGTGATGTATTTGATATTCCAAACACAGTAACAACAAAGTCTCTAGTGGAGACGTTATTGCGCCTGCTCGAGCAAATCGATGAACAACAGTACGACAGTGATTGAGATGCATGGCTTTTCTTTCAAAGATTATTTTGACTAATATCTTTAAAGGTGTATCCAGTTAGGTCATTTCATTTCTGTCATGAAATAGCTTAAACTCCCTTTTAGAAAAATTATTCTGTATTATTTGTTTTTTCAGGAGGGGGTGCCCCAAGTGGTGGTCAGGGCTTACTCCCATGCCTACACTGAGTGATTACTCCTGGCAGGTTTGAGTGACCATATAGGGTGCTGGGGATTGAACCTGTGTTAGCCGCATGCAGAGCAAGTGCCCTACCTGCTGTACTATCGATTTATACTCTTTTGAACTTTATTTAAACAACATGGCTTATTGTTCATAATACAGTTTTGGGGACATGAGTAGTCCAACAGCAATCATTCAATATTCCATACCATCAGTGTGACATTCAGTGTTCTTCACCACCAGTGTGACATTCCCTCCACCAATGTCCTTGGTTTCCCATCCACTCTCCAAGCCTGCCATCTTGGCAGACACAAAATAATTTGTTTGATATTGCTTATTACAACAAAATGGCCAATGGAATTATCAAAACTGAGTTCAATATTAGAGTATTTGTTAAAAGTTGTTATATCTCACAATGGGTTATTAAAGTCATTGTCTGAGGGTTTGCTGAGCTGTTTGTTGCTAGTTTAGTCCTCTGTTACTGTTTTAGTTTACCAAGATTAGTTGGCTTCTATGCTATTTTTCCATCTAATTTTTTGTGCTCCTATTAGGCTGTCAGTACTGTGGAATTTGGATAGGTTGTCTGGAGAATACACATCCATGTGCTCCAGACACCAGGATCTATAGTACTAGAATTTACTTGGCCCACTCCTCTTCTAAGGGACCCCAGAGTTTTCAGCCCAAAGACCCATGTACCAGTGAGTTTCAGTGGCTTGGTCTGCATCTTTTCCAAGATTAGTCCCAAAGCTATGAAACTGGGCTGTGTACATGGCAGTGGCAGTGGGACGTGGATGTGGCAGTGTGGAAAGTTAGGGAAGACAGTTCACCCACACTCGAAGAACAACCTAGAGTTCTCAGGCCGAAACCAGTACCTGGAATTTTCGTCAGCTTGGTACTTCTGCAGCAGTAAATCATGAAGCTGTGAATTGGGCCATTTCATGGTATGCATGGTGGCAGCTGTGGGATGTTTGGTTTGTTTGCCTGGGCCTTGACAGGGCAGGAACTCGGCCTGCTCCCATCCTGAGGGCTTCCATTCCCTTCCCTTTCCTTCCCTTCACTTCCATTTTCTCCTTTTCCCTCCCTCCCCTTCCCATTATCTTTTTAAATAACTTTCTTATCATAGGATGTACAAAAGTATATTGAGTAGCAAAATGAATATTTTGTGTACCTATCACTCATCTTTATCAGTTACTAGCATTTTCCTATTTCTTTGCTTAGAAAAATTCTCCTTATTTATTCCCCTATATTCCTGCCATTTTGGGGCTGAAGAAAAAAAAAAGTAATGTGTAGACTTCTCCAAATTCTGATTTTGACTGACTAGTTATTCTTGATATGTCATTTTTTTAATTCTATTTCTCTGATTCTTTAATTTCCTTTAAGTTGATAGTTATCTAGGCTTGAGTAGTTTTAGGTTCAGTTTTCTCTGCAAGAATATTTCATAATGCACCATATATTAGCTTTTATCACAGCTTGATTTAAAACTTATAAATTTGGTCATTGAAATTTCTCCTTATTAGCATCTCCTGAATTGTTAGCCAAATCATTCTACCATTCCTTCTCTACTTAATTGGTGAATAAAACTTGGTGGCAATTTGCAGGTGCTTTTTTGACTTGCTATTGTTCCTTAATTTTTTAAGTGATAAACTCAGTAGAAAATTTAGTGATAATCTACATTTTAAAAATCAAGATTTCAGGTTATTTGTGATCTTTAAATAATGTTCTAATGAAAAATTATGAATTTAATTGCTCTTTAAAATGGTTAAAATATATATCTTAAATAACTATATTCTCATTCTTATAACATTTGTACAGTTATTTGTGTTTTATATGTGTTTTTATACCTGAGACTCTAAGATAAAAATTTAAACTTTCAGGGTATATATATTTTTAATTAATTACTGTCACTGTCCTCCTGTTGTTCATCGATTTGCTTGAGCAGGCCCAGTAACGTCTCCATTATGAGACTTGTTACTGTGTTTGGCATATCGAATACGTCACGGGCAGCTTGCCAGGCTTTTGCCATGTGGGCAAGATACTCTCGGTAGCTTGCCAGGCTCTCGAGAGGGGCGGAGGAATCGAACTCGGGTCGGCCATATTGGCCGCTTGCAATGCGAACGCCCTACATGCTGTGCTATCGCTCCAGCCCTTTAATTAATTTATTCTATTGAATCACTGTGAGATATAGTTACAACAGTTACTAAGCTTTCATGCTTGAGTTTAAGTCATACAATGATCAAACACCCATTCCCTCCACCAGTGCACATTCTCTACCAACAATATCGCAAGTGTACGCCCCCGCCCTTTCCAAACTGCCCCCTGCGTCCATGGCATACAGTTTCCCCCATACTATCTCTCCACTTTTGGGCATTATGGTTTGCAATGCAAATAATTCAGGATATAAATATATATTACATATCCATAAAACTTTTTTGTTCTTCTTTACATAGGTTGTTAAGTGTGATCTGCTGTAATCTTGATTCACTTCTCCTATTAGAGGTTCAGTATCAAGTATCTGAAATGCTACTAAATGCTCAAGAAGAAAATATGATAGAGACCTCTGAAAACCATAGGTAAAAAAGGACAAAAACCTGTTGAGGCACAATAACAAAACTAGACTTCTTTGAAGATCCTGTATTAATATACTTTTGTGTTTTCAAAAAAAAATCTTTCTTCACTATCTGATTTCAGTAGATGTAAATAGCAAAATAGTAGAATTTACTATTGGCTTTTGGTATAAAAGCCAAAAGCCATCATTAGGAAAACTATCAAAGTTTTTAAAGAGAATTACAAATAATTGTTTTGTAAGTTATTTTATCCTTATTTTTTTTAATTAGTTTTGTTTCCTTTATTCTTTTTTTTTATTTTTTGCTTTTTGGGTCACACCCAGTGGTGCTCAGGGGTTACTCCTGGCTTTATATTCAGGAATCACTCCTGGCGGCGCTCAGGGGACCATATGGGATGCTGGGAATCGAACCCGGGTTGGCCACGTGCAAGGCAAATGCCCTACCCGCTGTGCTATTGCTCCAGCCGCTATTTTACCCTTATTTTAACATTTTTGTTAAAAATTAACTTTTTGAGATCACATTACTTTTAAAATCCTGCTGCATGAGCTATATGAGCCACTGGACAAACTTTGATTTTTTGTGCCCTGTGGTATTACTCTTTACTCCATCTTCTTAATTTTATTAGTTTGAGATCATAAATTTTGATTGTTGCAAAGTGAGGTTATGATAATATGCTGATGTTTTCCTACTTACATAACAACTCTCGTTACTTAATTTGTATGCATTTATTGAGTACCTACTAAATTGCTGGCATTATATTTGCATCTCTAAATTTTTTTGCTTTTGGTTTATGGAGTGTGGGGGGCATGTCTCGCAGTGTTGAGGGATTTACTTCTGGCTCTGAGCTCAGAGATCACTTTTGGCAGTATTTGGAGATTGAGCCTAAGTTGACCACATTCATGGCTAGCATCATTTTTTTTTGTTGTTGTTGTTGTTTTTTTAATATGTGCCTCCATACTGGCTGGGCTTTAAAATATATTAATAGTTTCAGGAAGTTTGGGATGTCAGACGTTTTGATCTTATCCATCAGTTATATTAGTTCTATCTTCATAAATTCATTATCCTGTAGAAAACATGACTAAAATTTGATTATTTTTCAGGGATTTTATAATTGATGGATTATCAATAGAGAGAAATCACGTTCTTGTTAGATTTAATCTTATTGGAGGGCCTATGGAACGAATTTTGCCTCCCAGGATACTAGAAAAGGTGAGTTTCTGAAAGTTGGGTGGTGGGAAATGATTTTCTGACATATCTTGAAACAAGTCAGCCAACTGACTTGACAACTATCAAATGTCCTCATCACAAAAGTTAAACTTGTTGCTAGAAATAAATATTATAACAAAGCTTTTATTGCAACTGAATATTTATGCATGTATAGTATTTGTGGAAAGAGGTCATAAGTATTAGTTTCTGTTGCCCAGGTAGGATGCTGTTTGCATATTTTTATGGTTCATTTTTGGTATACCTTTAGTATTTTAATGTCTCTTTATTTAATGACTCCAAACTGATTTTTGATTGAGGTTCTGTAATTTCCAATACTGTCAGTCCGTCCATGATGGTCTCCTATGCACATAATTCCAACATTACACCCCTCACCAGTATGCTCATCTCCTTCCCCAAAGGGCCCAAACACCCCTGCCTTCCCCTATTTCTTCCTCCTTTACTTCCAACTTATTTGTATAGATCAGTTCTCCTGCTGGATTGACTTTGGCCCAATGTTTCTACCTTGCTGTGTATCAATAAGTTCAACAAATGAGAGAGAAAAATACATAATTTTTATTAGTTAAACTATGTTTTCTTTGTATATAATTAATAGTATTGGATGCCTTTCTTTTCATCAGTACTCAGAGTTTGACTTCCTGAAGGATTTTTTTTTTGTCATCATTAAATATCTTTTTATTTTGTCTCTCAGGGAAAGATGAAACAGAAATAATTGATTTATAAGAGAAGCAATTTTCGAGTAACAGGGGAAATAAGAGGTTTTTTTTTTAACTACAATTTTTATTTCTTGAAAAAATACTAAAAGTATTCTAGTCATAGTTGCCAGAACAGGTTACAATATATTTTGTCTTTGCTTTTATTACATTTCATTTTGCTTATTACCTATTTGTGTATTTATTTATAATATCGACTATCTTTTGTAAACTGAACTTCAAAAATTTATGAAACCAAGGCCAATTTAAGTTCATGATATTTCAGAAAACCTGAAATTCAGTATCATGTAAACTAGCTTCTTAAATAAAAGGTTGTCTTTTTTAGGGTGATGATCCATATCCTTGGCCAATGTTTTCATCATTTCCTTTACCAAATTGCTATTTGTCCAAAGGAACAAGAAATGCTGAACTCAAACAAGGTAAAATATTTCCCATCAAATCTCATGTCATTTCAATGTTTTTCTTATAATTTGCAAAAATAAAGTATTACAAAGCAGCGATAACACAGCGGGTAGGGCATTTGCCTTGAATGCGACCAACTGGGCTGTTCAATTCCTCTGCCCCTCTGGAGAGCTCGGCAAGCTGCTGAGAGTATCTTGCCCTCATGGCAAAGTCTGGCAAGCTACCTGTGACATACTCGATATGCCAAAACACAGTAACAAGTCTCACAATGTTACTGGGCCCGCTCGAGCAAATTGATGAACAATGGGAGGACAGTGACGGTGACAGTGACAAAGGAACATTAATACTTTTTTTCATTTAGACTGTGCGTGGAGACATCTATGCCTATCTCTCTGTGATTTTAATAGTTTGTTTCTTACTAAATATTTGTATAATGCTAATTCTCATCCTTAATATTTTTTGTTTAACCAAAAAAGTGTTTTCAAAGACAATTTTTTTGAGTTCAAAAACTCAAACAATTGAGTTTTCAAAGAGAGATAGTGGAATAGGTCACTTGCCTTGGACATCAGTTTGATCCCTCACACAACAATAGTCGTTAAGCGTCACCAGGAATAAGCCCTGAATAGAGTCAGAAGTAAACCCTGGACACCACTGAGTGTGTCGCCATAACCAAGAGCAATAAAAGTAAATAAAAGAATTTTAAATGACTTTTGATTTGTTGTATTAGTTGCAGATACAATAAAAGTGAATAAAAGATTTAAGGTGATTTTTTATTTGTTGTATCATAGATACATAGTGTTTCATTCAAGAGAAATATCTTGGGGAAGTCTCCCATACAGCATTGAGGGAATTTGGAAACTCATTGATACTCAAGTCAGCTGGGTCAGATTCTTTGTTGTGTGGGACTTGTAATATAGTAGTGCTCAGGCTGGCAATGCTGGGGGTTACAAGGACCATCCTGGCAGTGTTTGGGGTCTCTAAAGCTATACTTGGAAATACTGGACCAGGGATGTGATGTGGTACTTGGGTTTGGACTTGGTCCTGGTGTATACCAAGTATGTGCTCTGACCACTGGACTATCTCCCCAACCAAGAAGTTATATTTTTTCTGTTCTTTGTGCTCAAAATTTGGAATATAAACATATAAACTATGTAATTTTTATTGGTGGGCTGGAGTGGTGGCACAGTGGTAGGGTGTTTGCCTTGTGCGTGGCTGCCCAGCTGGCTGAGCCAGGTTTGATTCCTCAGCCCCTCTTGGAGAGCCCGGCAAGCTACTGAGATATCTCGCCCGCATGGCAAAGCCTGGCAAGCTACCTGTGATGTATTTGATATGCCAAACCCAGAAACAGGAAGTCTCACAATGGAGATGTTACTGGGCCCACTTGAGCAAATTGATGAACAACGGGAGGACAGTGGACAGTGGGATTATTTTTGGTGTTTTGCTTCTGTGCCCAAGACTTCCCACTGGTTCTGTGCTCAGGAGTCACTTCTGATGGTCTTTTGGGGACTATATGTGGTTCTGAGGATGGACCTTGAATTGACAGCATGAAATGCAAGGATCTTATCTGCTGTACTGTCTTTCAGGCCCCTGCAGGTAAAATAAAAGTGCAACATTCATCTTGGAAGAGTTTATGAACTTTTAGACAATACATTTAAGCACAAAGATAATTACATGGTAGGATTGTATGATAGGAGCTAACTGAATAAATTTGTAACCTGCTGGTTAGCACATAACAAGGACATTCTTCCGTAGAGAATTGTTTAAGTAGGCCTTGAAATATAAATCTCTGCTTCCTGCATAATCAAGGAATATTTCTGCCACGACAAATCATGGATCAGGCTAGGGTCATCTGCCTGCAAGACAACTACTGTGGTCTCTACTGCCTCTGTAAGTCACTTCTTTAGTTGTTTTTTTTTTTCCATGCTCCTGCCATAGTTGATCATTTTCCTTCAAAATAATTTAATAAAAAATTGCCTTACTTTGAACTGAACAAGGCTTATGGCTTTAACAAAATCAAGATAGAGTGGGTCGATAAAATATTTGTGTCAAATGATATTTCCTGGGAATTATTGTTCATATGTTTTTAAAAAGAAACTTAAAGATTGTATTCATGCTCTCCTCTTGTAAATGATTTATAGAAGGGGTAGTTCTAGCTTCACTACCTAACGGAGGGTAAGTATTTAATGGTTATTAACCTTACTGGGTTAATAATGTACTATGCAGACACAAAATTTGTCTACTGGTCCATTTAAACTCCTTTTTTTGCAGTTGTCCTGTGCTCCTAAGACATTATATTTTCATTCTTGGTAAGCAAAAGAAGGTGAATTGGGCACTGACAATCCAGGAGTTACCGCAGGTGGATAGTACATCGTAACCTGACTATATATCAGCATCGGGCATTCTGGTATTGGTAATGTGTCACTGATCCTATAGTCATAGTAGAATGGCAGAAAATGAGAGTGGAAATCAGAAGCAGCATGTTGAGCTTTCTGCTGTGCCTGAAAACAGTGACAATGTCTCTAGGAACTGAGTGAGGAATATGGAGCCAAGTGCAATTTTATCTGGAATCTAAATTGGAAGCAGTGCTTTTACTTAAAAATAATCCAGTAAACCAAACATTAACTCTGTACTTAAAAAAAAATACTGGTTAGTAATAAAGTAAGACATAGACAGATTAAAGGCAAGAGTTCATTTACATTCCATTCTGCCTTTTTGATTTGAAACTAAGGACTTACTGATTCCAGTAGGTGTTATTTTGTCATCATTTGCATTGCAGAATTTTTGGACATCATTTCATTGTTGTGGAAATAAAACCACTTTACTTGTTTGCACATGGTGACATCCATCTCATTTGTCCCCTCCCCCCTTCTCAATTCATCCTCCTTGCTACAGTTAGCATCTCCTCATCTGTTAAATTGCCTCTTGTTAGCTCATTTGGCATCAGTGTTACTATTAGATGATTTATCTTCATCTGTAAATAAGACTGAGACACATTCTGGTTCAGTTATTTTCTTTTTGGCATTTTTTAGGGTCACCGTGTTATAATGAAAAGTTCCTTAAGAGTATCTGTGTAATATTATCTATGTGATTTTGCGTATATATACATATGTAGCAGATATATACATAGCATGTGTACATGTATGTTCAATTATGTATATGTCACCTGTATGAGCATATGTACACATACGAGAGATCTTTCTTTATGTAGTAGAATTAACTCCTACTCAAAATATCATGCTTACTAGGAGTTTTGATAAATTTGGTACCTTTGTTTGTGTTTTTGAGGGGTGGCCATACCCAGTGGTGTTCAGATCTTACTCCTGGCTCTGTACTCAGGAATCACTACTAGTGTTTTTTTGTGGCCATATGGGGTACTGAGAATCAAATTCAGGTTGGCCATATGCAAGGCAACTGCCCTGTGCTCTGCACTATCACTCTGACCCTGTAATTTGATGTTTTGCAGAATGAAGATGAAAAGAGAGTGACAGAAAGTTGTACAGTGTTTAAGCCATGTACTGGGTACCATGTCAGAAGTTAAAGTGAATTAGTAGAGTTTGAGTCACAATTTAATCTTTAGCATATGAAACAGAAAGATAGTGAGATAGTTTGTTTTGTATGCTTTTTTTGTTAAACTAAAATGAGGTCACCCAAGATTTAATATAACACCCTTAATAAATTTTGATTTAATCAAAATAATGGCTTCTTTCTAAAATAAGGAAGAAAAATCCAAAACTTCCTAAGGAGGGGGGAAAAATGGCTTGGGGTAGCATATGTTGATTATTGGAAGCATCAGCAACACAAATCATACAATGAGAAAGTGTCCTGTTTATTTTATTGTTTTTATATTTTTATTTTTAGGCCAAATTATAAAGCATTCAGATTACATGTACAGACTATTTTCTTTACTGCTATGGAATTTCTATCAAAAAACATTGGATCTACTGAATGAGCTGATAACGTCAAAGTGAATAATAAGTTATTTTTTTCCTCATTGACTATACATCTCTAGTACTCCTAATAGGATTGCCAGAGTGGCAGAAAGTGAACATTAATTTACTGTGCTCCTTGAGTGCTATTTGGCATTGATTGCCTTTCTTTGATCTTAGAAATGTAATGGCTCTTCAGTGAAAGACTAAAACATGAGTAACTTCTGATGCAGGTGAACTTTTAAATTTTCCTAGGAGCTCCTCAAAGAGTTTCCTAAGAACTAAAGAGAGAGTAATAGCTAACAGAGTCACCCATATAGCACAAACATGTTACTTTCTTGTTCTTTCATCTCTCTTGCCTTTTCATCATCCAATGCCCTTTCCTTTCCTGTAGTCATTATTCTACATAGTTTGCATCTATTTTATGAATCTTTTTTCTGTCTTGTTTTTGTTTTACTTTTGAAAAGCAACTTTCATAAAGTTTACTGGTCTGGAGTGTATTGTTTGCATGCAGGAGCTCCCACGTGATCCCCCTTATACCTGGTTTCCTGAGCATTGTGGATATGTTATCATTCCTGACTCTCATGCCCCCCTTCCAATAAAAGCAGCTTTATTGAGATATAATTAAAATACCATTCAACTTACTATTTAATTTGTACAATTTAATGTTACTTCAGCATATTCACAGATGTTTGCATTCATTACCTAAAACATTTTTATTATAAATTTTTTATACCTCAGAAAAAAAAAACTGGTGTCTCTTTCTTTCCCTTTTGTAACCCAGCATCAAGGAAACCACCAATCTACTTTTTGTTGCTTGAGATTTCTCTAGCTGGATTTTCATACTAAAGAAATAGTATGGATTCTATTATTTTGCTACTGATTTTCATTGACTTTTTAGCCTTACATAATGTGTTTTTTTTTGGAGGGGGGGCTGTGTTTTTTTTTGGAGGCGGGGTGCTGGAGGGGTGGCATGAGTTACTCTATGCTCAATTTTACTCAGGGACTATTCCTGTCTCTGCTCAGAAATGTTTGGCAGTGCTCAGGGAACCAATGAATATGATATTTTGTCAGATTTATCCATGTAATTA